GTGCTAACACTGTACAGCAATATACGCTACAAAAACTAATGTCTGCTAACCAATTCAATAATTAACAGTGATTACATCGGCAATTTATAATCTTTTAATTTTAAACTGTTACATTATTAGCTTTAGTTCTGGTCAGATCACATCCACTTTGAGGTTAATAAGATAAAATCTGCTTATTTGTGATGTGAGACATTTTCCTGTTTGTCTTCTGTTGGTACGTCCACAACACACGGTTTTATAAACTTTCAATTTCCTGACAGTTTCTTTGCATTAGATTTTATTTCTTAGAAATTGTTGTCTGCTGGGCAGATTATCTGTTTCTGTTTCAGACAACCAACGTGACTGCATGGTGCACGCTTGTACTTAAAGGCCCTCATGTGGTTGTCGGTGACGACTCAATGCTTTGTAATTTTTCTGTTCAGGCTCTAACAAGTTATAACACGTTGCTATTAATTCATTTTTAACGGGTTTTTTTTTTTTTTATTGTATACAGGCACTGTGGTAAAGTGACTGATGACAAACCACCCAGGTACTTGTAGTAAACAGCAAAGGGTTTTACAAGCCAGGTTATAATGCTTTGAAAATGTGTTTTGTTGTAGGATGCCAGAAAAGAAGGAGCCTTGGCCACTGTATGATTGGAGTGCTGACTGTTCTCCCTGAGGTAGGAGGAAACACCATGGAGCTCCAGCCCACATCCACTGCTGCTGTTGTTCCTTCAAGAAGTTCGAAACTTTTGTGAAACTGATTTCAGGGCTGAAAATAAAATATATTTTGATGGGACCATGTTTTATTGGTTTTTTTTCTTTCTATGTCTAGATAAATAAATGTAATGTTGRTGGCATAGGTTAAGATTTTTCTTTTTTTTTAATGTGTCATTTTAAAGGCAATGAGTTTGGTTAAGTAAAGTCCACTTTTTAATGTGTAAAAGTGTAAAATCTTGTTAGTTTTGTATTTCATGTGTTTCACTGGCCACAATGGCCTTTTATTAAGGTGCTAAGGAYAGCATTTTCTTAAAAATAAAACACTGAACCTTGTGAGCTTCTCATCTTCTGTTGCAGTTACTTTATTTGTCCGAGGCAATCGGTTGATTCTGATATAATAATAAGTAAATGTAAGTTGGACTAACTTGATGTAGCTAAGTTAAGAATGGTTAAATTTACTTGTTTTTCTAAGTTAAAAACAACTTCACCAATTTAAGGTGAACTAACTTCACATTTAAGTTCATACARCAAAGTAAGTACTATTTGTATGTATTTAAAGTAAGCAAAATGTAGGCCTAATAGTTACACCTGGCTTACATTTTTCAAGGCAAYTGGTTTCCAAGATTTTTTTAAAGTAAAGTCAGCTTGTCAAATTTTAGAGTATATATTATAAACATTAAATACATTAATACATACATTAAATAGCTTATATACACTATAATATATTAATAATATTTTGTTATTGTTAATAGTTTCTACAGTTTTTAAATAATCAGCCCTTATCGTTCACTATTTTGCCAAATACATTAAAGGTAAATCCAGACTCTTGCCCAGTCTGGTTGTCATTACTGCTACAGTAAATCACACGGTCATGTTAAGATGTACTCCAGCTGTTCTATATAACTCCATGGTATGAACCTACAATAGCAACAATTTAGTTACCAATGAGGTCTAGACCAGTGGTTCCCAAAGTTGGGGTCGGGACCCAAAGTGGGGTCCTGAAACATCAAGGTGGGGTCCTGAAAATATTTTCTAAATTAATTACATTTTTACCTTAGTTGCCTAAAATGCATAAATGTAGTCTAAAAATATTGTTAGTATGCCCATGTTTTGTTGACCTGATACAAATGTTTATCATCCAAAAATAGT